CAAAGTCTTGGCTACTGAAAGCATGATGGAAATTAATTCTTGTCGTACTTTGGGAATCTTGTCTGTCCACAAATCTAATAGAATTAGTTTTGGGGTTCTTACAATCTCATATCCCGTTATATCCTTAATATACATAATTATTTCCCCCCCAAACTCTTTTACTATACGACAATCCCACCAACAATGTAAAAAGGAACATGTTCGCCACATTTCCTCCAACAAAGACATGAATAAGTGGGAGAAATATGATGTATTTTGCTTGGAGTATTGTACCATCTCATCATCAATTTAAATGCTTGCAATTTTATAGGGGGCAGGAAGACTCGTGGGGATCTACTCCTGGAGTGGGAGCATCTTGGAGACAGTGTAGGATCTCGTCTCTGTGTGCGGCCCCTATTAGCCCGATCATCGATATCAAAGGGCCAATCCTCGGCGAACAGACGGGGAGGATGACGTTGAGTGCTTTTAGGGATCTGTCAATGCCGAGCCGCATCGATATCGGCATGGCACTCCGAGACCGTCGATGTTGAAGACTGAGCAGAGGGAGAGCGATCCGTGTCCGGGGGACGACTGAGGATCTCGACATTATCGATGTCGGAGAAAGGACGCATATCAACCAGCGTATCATGATCTAGCTGGTGTATGGGAGAGTCCAATAGCTGGATGGTTGGTATCGGTGGAGTGACCAGAGCGTCCGATGCCGACACTGCCGTTGGAGCGGGGGGCACGCTATGGGCATTACCCGGTGAAGTACCCACTACATTCCCAGACTTCGCCACCTTTAGGGTCTTAGAGGAGCCCTTTTTGGCGGACTTGTGCTCTTTACCCGTCTTCTGTTTCCTTTTCACGGGCATCGATGCCGAAGACTGCGCCGTCAGTGCCGAACGCTTCAATGTCGACTGAACGATGTCGGATAAGGGCTTCGAAGCCGGAGCCGTCGATGGTCTTACCGGGACTTCAGAGTCCATGACTGAAGCGGGATTTAGTGCTGACTCTAGTAACGCTATTCGGAGTTGTGCTGCTCGGTTTTTTCTAGTCTGACTGGAAAACTTGGTGCAGTGTCGACAGGACTCTGGTCGGTGCGTCTTGCCAAGACAAAAAATGCAGAGGGTGTGACCATCAGGTGGAGTGAGCCTACTGCCACAGCCCCTGCAACGCTTGAAAAAGCCCCACTTCTTCTCCATAAAATAAGTAAAAACGGAGAAGAAAAGGTGGTGGGGAAGGGGGGAGCCCGAAGGCCAGAGTGAGGTAAACGAAAAAGGTTGCCCCGAAACTAAACAAAGTTCTTTTTTTTGAAGAAACAACAAAAGAACAAAGTTAGAAGTTAAAGAAAAACTGAGGTGAAAACCGAAGAGCTGAGGAGAAAAAAGCTACCGATCAGACCGACGAAAGGAAGGTACTTCCAGCGCGGCAGAAAGAAAGGAACTGGCGGGATGTTCGCACCCACCCCTCTGGGCATGCATGGTGGGGTTCCTACGCATGCCCGAGGTCTGGGCGCAAAAATCTGTTAAGAGCTTGCTACAATGCTGATCAATCCAGCGCATGTGCACTGTATCCCATGGGTGTGAAGCACAGAGACCACGTCGAAGATCCACCATTCCATGACTGCACACCCATTACTATCTGAGCATGTTCAAGTGTCTACAAATCTCATAAATGGCACGTCCCCTTTTCTGCAAGTCTTCCCAGGTTTGGGGGCAGAATCTCTTCATATACCTGCAGTATGAAATAAGGTTTCCCCCCCCAAACAGAGCATGACAATTTGTAAACTGTATTTCCTGTTTGTTAGAACAACAGACAATTGTGTATTTTCAGTTATCTACAAATGTTCATAACATATCTATACCACTTCTTGATTGGCTACTCAGACATCCCATTTATATGTGCTTTATATATGGATAATCAGATTAAAATCCCTTCTAACAATATGAAATTCACCTATTAATCTTTTCAGCTTTGATTTTCTGTGTGCCATTTTTCTTTTCGCTACTTTAATTTTAACACCTATACTACAGTTGCTTGGTTCAAATAATCTGTGGCTTGGAGGATTACAAACAATACTTAGTGTACCCTCCATCTATCACACACAGATTCCTTCTCAATTTCCATTCTAGTACAAATCAGTTTGCTATAATGTCCAAACAGGACATCTTTGATCTGTGCTATCCTTCCAAATCAGAACTGAAAACGTACTTTAAACCAGGACAAATCCCAGGTGCTAGGTCGCCATGGCACCTAGAAATTTCACTATGGCATCTACTATTTTTAAGCAGTGTTTTTATTGTATTCTCTCTCAATGAAAAGTACAAAGCTTATTGACCATTTTGCATCAGAATATGTTTTGTTGTATGGTATAAAATATATGTGCTCAAAGTTCTTGTTGTTGGCCTGTTTACATGTTAACTTTACACCACTCAGTATTGGTAGATTAATTCATTTCTTAACCAGTTGCCTTCTGCACTGGTTTCAACATTCCATTAAATTAAAACAATAATGGAATGGTCAGAGAGAGGGGAGAAGTTAGGCTAGGGTTAAGAGTAAAGCTTTTTGTCATAGGAATAGCAATCGGGACTATCCTTATACATTAATAAGCAACACTTGTTGTGGCTTTAACAAAATTACAAGAAATTATGAAGAAGTCAGGATTAGGTTTTGTGGTACCAACCAATAATTAGAAAATATGGTAATTAATATATGAAACCCTGAAGACTGACAAGAGTCTAACTCCTAAATTTTAGGGCTGGCTTCTAGAGCCAAGAAAATTCATCAAGGCCTGCTTTAAACCAGGCTTCCAAATTAGAACTGAAAGGACAGCACATAACCACAGCTGGCCAATACTGAAGTCATAAGAAAGTACAGGCAGCACTGAAATGGAAGCAGAAAGGAGGAAGCGGCAAGTAAACCCGTGGCTTATTTCCTGTGTACAGCCCTGCTCGCACCTTCCAAAGGTTAAGGATCAGTGGGAATTCTCAGGCGGCCACGGAGACACCTGCCTTCTAGACTGTTTCTTCAGCAACACGTCTGACTGCCAGAATGGAAACATGGCAGGAATCCAAAGAGCAATCTGTATGAGGCCGAGGCAGCTGAGCTGCTAACAGAGTGTGTGAAGAAAACAGACTCTCAAAATAAAAAGCCAACACGTTTTTAAAAAGTAGCTTTCTTTTTACAGTGAAGGTGCCTCCAGCCCTTTAAACCAAGTGTCCCAGAAAATCCAGAGGATCCCATGAAGAGCTGCATGTATGAGGGGGGGGGATTCCCCCCCTTGCTGTGGCAGCCTGTCAACCCCCCCCCCACTTATGCTACTCCTCAGGGAACCGTGTCCACAGCAGCAGCAATGGGACAGGGATTTTCAGGCTGCAGCAGGGAGGGGGAGCTGGGGAAGTAATGCTTCATGCACAGAATTTAAATAGAATCCAACCCACTAATTTGTCTCAAGCAAATCTAGTGCTACAACTTCTATCTCTAACTACTGAGAGCCAGTTTGGTGCAGTGGTTAAGTGTGCGGACTCGAATCTGGGAGAACCGGGTTTGATTCCCCTCTCCTCCACTTGCACCTTCTGATGTGTCCTTGGGTCAGTCACAAGCTCTGGCACAGCTGACCTTGAAAAAGAGCAGTTTGTGTCAGAGTTCTCTCAGCCCCACCCACCTCACAGGGTGTCTGTTGTGGGGAGGGGAAGGGAAAGGAGTTTGTCAGCTGCTCTGAGACTCCAAGTGAAGGGCGGGGTATAAATCCAATCTCTCCTTCTCCTCCTCTTCTTCTTCTACTTCTGCAAAGAGATGCTCTGCATTTCAAATGACCTAACTGGGCATGTACAGGTATGCACATGAACAGCGGCTACTTGGATGGACGTGGACAACAGATGTAGGGTCAGGAGACAGTATCCTCAGAGGCTGCTGCTAAGAGCTGAGGCCTTTCCCCCACTGTGCCTCCACCCAGGAGCGGTTGCTGCCTGTCCTCTCCCTTTGACGGTACCAATGGTGACTGAGGCAGTCTGTGTTTGTGTGCGCACGTGCATGCATACAGCACAGAGGAGCATGCACAGAGAGGAGGATGGGGGAACCTATAAGCAGAAGGCTGAAAATCAAACCTCCCTTGACATGTTAATAAGTGTTTTCACTGAACATGAACAAGTCTTGTGAAGGTTTCAGAGGACAGCCGTGTTAGTCTGCAGTAAAATAGTTAGATTCGTGTCCAGGGTATAACCTTTCGAGAGTCTATCTGTCTGATGAAGGGAGCTGTGACTCTTGAAAGCTGGCACCCTGAAACTCTTGTTGGTCTCTTAGGTGCGACCGGACTCAAATCTAGATCTTATGAAGGAGCAGCATATAATAATAGGAGGCAAAACAGAAGCTTGTCTGCCACCAACTGAGGCTACTGATTTATACCTGATGCAAATCAAATCCAGACACAAGTAGTATCTGACTACTTTCCCCACTTACAGCTTGCTGGTATAAATCATTTAATTTATAGCCCAGGTTGCAACCCAGAGAGTTCCCTAAGGTGCTTTTAATTGGGGGGGGGGGTGCTAAGGAAACCAGAGAAGCAAAAACAGGTACAGCTATAAGGACGACTGTATTGGAAGATGGGTGGCCTGCATAACGTCCATTATAGAAGAAGAAGAGATTGGATTTATACCCAGCCCTTCACTACCCAAAGGTGTCTCAGAGCGGCTTACAAACTCCTTTTCCTTCCCCTCCCCACAACAGACACCCTGGGAGGTAGGCGAGGCTGAGAGAGCTCTTGACAGAAACGGCTTTTTCAAGAACAGCTGTGCCAGAACTACAGCTTGCCCAAGGTCATCCAGCCAGGTGCAAGTGGAGGAGTGGGGAATCAAACCCGGTTCTCCCAGATTAGAGTCCGCGCACTTAACCACTACACCAAACTGGCTCTCACACCAAACTGGCACAGTTTATAGGTGGGGTTAGCTTCCACGAAGATGCATCTTAGTACACTGTCCTGTTCTAATCCAGAGAAATGAAATGCTTAATATACAACTTACTCGTTTATCAATATCGCCATGTTGAAGTTGAACAAACCGAGCACTAATGGCAGCAATGTAGCTCTGCTGATTGGAGAAAGCAACTCGCCCAGCACCTTTTGGGTATTTCAGTTCAGGATCTGTATCAATTCCTGCGTAACAAACTCCACCATAGAGTCGGTCCATTATCATGGCCAACTCCACTACAAAGAAATGAGGGGGAAAACTCATTACAGTAGTGCTTTAAATTAAGCTGAAATGCTTTAACGTGATGTAAAAAATCAACAGGAAAAATGTTTGAGAAGCCATAATATATTGTATGATGGAGAACTGACAAATTAGAACCTATGCTCTGTTCTCCAAATAAAGCAAGGCATAAGATTAGGGACCAGGTTCCCAGCTCCAGAAAAGAGGACACTTTTGTTATTTTCACCGGAAGATGATTTCCCTGTACCAGACACGCATCAGTCAGCCTGTATTACTGATGCATTAAAGGCAAAGGTTTCCCTTGCTCGAAAGCCAGTCGAATCCGACTCTGGGGGCAGTGCTCATCTCTGTTTCCAAGCCAAACAGCCAGCACCGTCCGAAGACGTTTCCGTGGTCATGTGGATGGCATGACTAGATGCCAAGGTGCACGGAATGCTGTTACCTTCCCACTGAAGTGGTACCTATTTATCTACTTGCAATTTCTTGCTTTTGAACTATTAGGTTGGCAGGCGTTGGGGCCAGAGACGGGAGCTCACTCCATCACGCGGCACTCGGGTCTCAAACTGCTGAACTACCGATCTTCCAGTCTGCAGCTCAGCACCTTAACCACTGAGCCACCGCAGCCCACTGATGCATTAAGCCAGGGTAAAAAAAACCTTGGGACACAATTCACCAGGGGCTGCTGCTGAGCTCCTTCCAGTTAAGAGGGTTGTTGCTGTCTATGAATTAGAGGAGTAATCAAAGGTTTCCTGTTCATTCACAAGCACCGATTTTGGGGACAAATTATACAGCTATATATCTTGGAATTCCTTCTGCTCTAATTCCAGCTTCTTAAGTCCCGTAACAAGTAATTTACATTAAGTGAAAAGAGGACATCAGAATGCTTTAAAAAAATGCGAAAGTGATTAGCAAATGAGTGAAACCGTCCTGAAATCAGGGTATGATTCTGCTGAAATCACACAGCGCTATTCTACAGCAGCTATCAATATAAGATAATATTTTTTTGACAGCTAAACCCTTCAAATGTACTTGTTAATTAATACTTTAGCTGAGCCATGCTATGCACAATGCTGATGCTACAGAAAGGCTGCAAGTAAGGAGCCTTAATGTGACATGCAGAAGAAAGCTAATTTCACTTAATTCCAAGCCAACCATAAACAATGCTCCCTCTAAGCTGTGGAGTCCTTTGAGCAAAAATTCTACTTTGAGAGCTGCTGGCATTAAAGTTGTGAGTGAGCGATTTGGCTACTGCATAAATCAGTTTGCTCTGGAGTCATCCTTCCTAAGCGGAGACAAAAATGTGTAAGCCGGAGGCTAGAAAACTGTGAACTGGCTCACACGGACTCAGCTTCGAGGGAACACTGACCATGAGGATTCCCCTTGACAAGGCCCACGAAAATTCCACATAATACATTTAGCATGTAGTTTTTGCAGACACTTCTGTTTTGTATTAAATGTAATGTGAGTACACAAACATAAATCCAGTCTGTGCACACAAGCCTCTTGTTTTCTCTGTGGTAACCTACGCTATGCTCTGATATAAACATCTATGGGAATGTGTATCACCAGGTGCTGGTAACACACCCATAAATACACAGATGAGGCTACCTACGTGTTAACAGCACCAGGCAATATGCATTCCAGGTTCACGTCAGCCTCTTCCAGAGCCCTGCTGTGTGAATTAGTTTTTAAATAATAAGTAATAGTAATGTGATAATGACTACTGCAGAAAGAGCTTAGGAGTGAATAGTGCAAATCTGAATCCACCTGTACATATGGATGTATGAAGCTGCCTTATACTGAATCAGACCCGTGATCCATCACAATCAGAATTGTCTACTCAGACTGCTAGCGACTTTCCAGGGTCTCAGGTAGAGGTCTTTCTCATCACCAGTCTTTTTGCTCTACCACTGAGCCACTGCCCCTCCCCAAAGTGTGTGACTGGCCTATGGTGACCCAGCAAGCTTCCAAGCCTGGGTGAGGATTTGAACCTGGGTCTACCAGATACTAGTCCGACACTCTAACCATTAATCACACACTGCATGGCTGCAGAATTGGATTTCTAAGAAACAACGCCCAGCAACAACAAAGCATGAGTGCCACGACCAGGACCAGGAAAAGGGTGATGATGAGAACTATGCAAACAGGTGCCCTGGGGCAGGGCTCCCTCAAAGGCCTCTGTTTCATGCCAAAAAAATTGCTTGTAAACTTTTTGTTCTGCCCCCATTAGAAACTGTTACTAAGAACACTATCTCTATACTTACCAGCTCTTAATGGCCTGGGGACACCACCCACAAAGATAGTTTTCCGAGGGTCCAGAGGTTGCGAACCATCCATTACAAAGTCACTATCGCTTAAGTTCCAGGGACGGATTTGGACCTAGTGAAACAAAGACCATGGCTACTGAAGTCTAACTGTATTGTTTGAACTGTGATTTCATCAGTCTACATAAACTGCCAGACAGCTACAATCCTGTTAACGTCTCTGGTTGTTCTCTTAGTAAACCTATATATTTAAGGTATTGAGCAAAACATTATATAATTGATTGAAACATCCCCAGTGGCTTGATCCTAAATTATTGCTAGCATCTGATCCTTTTCACCCTCCTCCTCATCTTAGAAGCAGCCTTCAGACCAGACAGATGGCAGCTACAGCTGGAAGGCCATCTTGTATTTACTTACTGGCTTATCCTTGATGGTGGGGCTAGAAACACACAAATAGAGCTTTCCATCTTCTTCAATGCAGGCATCAATCAGTGCCTGGACAGAACTCTCCTCTTGGAAAAGGAGGAATGCATAACCTAGAAAGGACAGAGGAGGAGGAGAGGGAGAATTTTAAATACAGTTAATGTTTTCCTTCAAATTATTTTCAAAAGCATTTATACAACGTGGATCCCAAGGGCCCCTTGGTCACACCTAAAGTGCTTTCAAAGAGTGCCAGGCTTGCCCATGTTTCACTTTGCACTGCAAAACCCCCCCCCCCCCATTTTTACCGGACCATCATTAA